CTCGGACTTTCCTGTTCTGCGTCTGCACTCCGACAGAGGCGGAGAGTTTTCCTCCGACCTTCTGCGAGCCTTCTGTCGTGCGGAGGGCATCCGCCAGACGTTCACGCTTCCGGCCTCTCCACAGCAAAATGGGATTGCTGAGCGCCGCATTGGCATGGTCATGGATGTCGCTCGTACGTCCATGATCCATGCGGCTGCTCCCCATTTTCTGTGGCCGTTCGCGGTTCAGTACGCGGCGGATCAGATCAACCTTCAGCCCCAGGTCTCCCTGCCGGAGACCTCCCCTACTCTGCGGTGGACGGGGAAGGTTGGTGATGCGTCTGCGTTCCGTGTCTGGGGATCTCGAGCTTTCGTCCGAGACTTGTCTGCGGACAAGCTGTCCTCCCGTGCTGTTCCTTGCGTCTTCCTCGGCTTTCCCCCTGACGCGCCTGGTTGGCAGTTTTACCACCCCACCTCGCGTCGTGTTCTGTCCTCCCAGGACGTCACGTTTGACGAGTCGGTTCCGTACTACCGTCTCTTCCCCTACCGCACTGCCCCCCTCCCCCCCCCGCCGCTCTTCCTCGCTCCCGGTCCCCCCCCGGTAGACCCCCTCCCCCCTCAGGGTCCTGCCCCCTCAGGTGTGTCCCAGGTAGATGCAGTCGAGCCTGTCGAGGTAGCTGCTGACTCGGGTGCGTCTGGGGGTGCTGAGCCTGAGCGTGCGGAGTCTTGGGGTGCTGAGCCTGGGGGTGCGGAGCCTGGGGGTGCTGGGTCTGGGGGTGCTGAGCCTGAGAGTGCGGAGCCTGGGGGTGCTGCTTCTGGGGGTGCTGAGCCTGGGGCTGCTGGGAGTGGGGGTGTGGAGCCTGCCGGTGCTGGACCTGGCGGTCCTTCGGGTGCGTTGTCCCGGCGGGAGCTTCCCTCTCCACAGGAGCTGCGCGAGTGGTTTGCTCGCCGCTGGAGCCGTGCTGCTGGAGCTGGAGGTGCTGCCGCTGCTGGAGGTTCTGCTGCTACTGGAGGTACTGGAGCTGGCGGTGCTACTGGAGCCGGTACTGGAGGTTCTACTTCTGCTGGGGGTGCTGGAGCCATGGGTCTCGGAGGTGCTCGTACTGGAGGTACTGGAGCTGCTGGGCCTGCTGGTGCTCCTGGTGCTGGAGCTGGTGGTGCTGCTGGCGTGGTTGCTACTGGAGGTACTGCAGCCGGAGCGGGTGTGTCTGCTGGTGGTACTGCTGGAGCTGGAGCTGCTGGAGGTACTGGGACTGGTGGTGCTGCTGGAGGTGGAGCTGACGCTGGGGGTACTGGTGTTGTCCCTGCTGGTCCTGTTGGTGCTGCGCGGCCGCGGCCGTACTTCGTTCCGCTCCTTGAGCAGGTTCTTGGTCTTCCGCCTTCTCCTAGTCCTGCTCCTTCCTTAGCGTGTCCTCCGCCTGTCCAGTCCGAGTCACAGTTACAGCTGGCCTCCCCTCTACCTACTCCTTCTCCCTACGCTGGTCCTACTGGAGGTCTTGCTGAGCGTCGTGACCCTGAGTCGCGTCCTGCGTCGCCTGTTCGCTCTGCTCGCACTAGTCGTCGTGTTCCACGTCCGCGTCCTCCTGCAGTCCCTGGCACGCATCCGATTGCACTGCGTCCTTCCACTGTGCCACAGCGTGTCCCTTTGCCGTCTCCTCCGGAGTCCTCTCTTCCTGCTCTTGCTGACCCGGCGTCTGACTCCCTTCGTGCTGCCAGTCCTACTGTCACGCGTTTCCTAGCCACTGTTGTCACTGCCCCTTCCTTTGAGTCCACTGCTGCGTCTGCCTTAGTTACCGAGCTTGTCGACTTCGCTGCTCACTGTCGTCTAGACTACGCCGCTAGTCTTGTTGCTGAGTCTGCGTCTGTCTGTCCTCCGTCCGTCGGGGGTGAGTGTGCTCTTAGCACGGACGTCCTTGAGGACCGACAGGAGGAGTTCCAGAGTTTTGCTGCTGCTTTACCTCATCTCGTGTCCACGCTGCTTGCCCCTGAGGGAGACCCGGATGCACCAGACATCCCGACCCCGCGCTCTTACGCAGAGGCGATAGAGGGTCCTTACTCCTCTCAGTGGCAGGCAGCCATGGACGCAGAGATGGCTTCCTGGAAGTCCACAGGCACCTACGTCGACGAGGTTCCCCCTCCTGGGGCGAACATTGTCAGTGGCATGTGGATTTTCAGGGTGAAGCGGCCGCCGGGTTCTCCGCCTGTCTTCAAGGCGCGCTACGTGGCTCAAGGCTTCAGTCAGCGGCAGGGAGTTGACTACTTTCAGACCTTCTCCCCGACCCCGAAGATGACCACTCTTCGGGTTCTGCTGCACGTTGCTGCTCAGCGTGACTACGAGCTTCACTCTCTTGACTTCAGCACTGCTTTCCTACAGGGCAGTCTGCACGAGGAGATCTGGCTGCGCCGCCCACTTGGCTTCACTGGGTCGTTTCCTCCTGGTACCCAGTGGAGCCTCCGGCGGCCAGTCTACGGTCTCCGCCAGGCGCCACGTGAGTGGCACGACACACTGAGGACTACGCTTGCGGCTCTTGGGTTTGCTCCTTCCACTGCTGACCCGTCGCCGTTTCTTCGCACCGACACTTTGCTGCCGCCGTTCTACATCCTCGTGTACGTTGACGACTTGGTCTTTGCTACAGCTGACACTGCTGGACTCGCCCACGTGAAGTCCGAGCTGCAGAAGAGACACACGTGCACAGACCTGGGTGAACTGCGCAGCTATCTTGGCTTGCAGATCACCCGGGACAGAGCACGGCGCACCATTACCTTGACTCAGTCACACATGGTGCAGCAGGTCCTTCAGCGCTTCGACTTCACGTACTCCTCGCCTCAGGCCACTCCTCTGTCTACTCGCCACTCGCTCTCAGCTCTGCCTTCGGATGAGTCCGTAGAGCCGAGTGGCCCGTACCCAGAGCTTGTTGGCTGCCTCATGTACCTGATGACCTGCACTCGACCTGACCTAGTATACCCTCTGAGCATTCTGGCACGCTATGTTGCTCCTGGGAGACACCGACCAGAGCACATGGCTGCAGCGAAGAGGGTGTTGCGCTACTTGTGCAGTACTTCAGGCTTGGGGCTAGTGCATGGAGGGCGGAGTCCAGTGGTCCTCACTGGTCACGCAGACGCGTCTTGGGTTGACGACCTGGCTACGCAGCGGTCGTCACAGGGTTACACATTCAGCCTTGGTTCCGGCTCTGTTTCGTGGCGGTCTAATCGCTCGTCTTCTGTTCTCAGCTCCAGCTGTGAGGCTGAGATCTACGCAGGGGCCATGGCTGCACAGGAGTTACGCTGGCTCACCTACCTTCTGACTGACCTGGGAGAGCCGCCTCGTTCTCCTCCAGTTCTGTACGTAGACAACAAGGCTATGCTGGCCTTGTGTCGGGAGCACAGACTGGAGCACAGAACGAAGCACATTGCTCTTGGCTACTTCCTTGCTCGTGAGCTGCAGCAGCGTGGTCAGCTGCACCTTGCTTACGTGGCCTCTCAGGCCAACACTGCTGATATCTTTACCAAGGCACTTCAGCCTTGTGATCATCAGCGCTTCTGCACTATGCTCGGTCTTGTGCCTACTTGGCCTCACTTGCTTACCTCTTGACTTTGCTTGTACTGTGATCTCTATATACCTGCACTTGCTTGTTTACCTTTATATATGAACTTGCATGTGAACTGGCCTTATGGCCTTTGAACCTGTGCTCAGACTGTGTGGTAACGTTGTGATCCACCCTGAGCTTGCTTTACTTTGCTTTGCTTTGCTTGACTGGTCTTTTGACCCCTAGTTCTCCCCCACTTTGCCTATGGGGGTGTGTCAGATATATATGCCTTAGCCTATGTAGGCTGTAGTGGGGTAGACACTAAGGGGTACAGCTTTCATATTTGTATCACACACTTTCCTAGTTCATTCATTCCTGTTTCATTCTTCACATGAGCCTCGTATAAGCCCTATCCAGGAAAAAATGGGGAATGAAATGGATCATGAACAAATCTTGTTCTTTCATCTAAAATATTTAATGTAAGTTTGAATCTGACTCAACAGTTGGACACTATAATGTAACTACACCCCTGAAATGACATTTTGAATACTCCCTGAACAGGAATAGCATGGTGAACCCAGGAAGATGAGCGAGGGGGTCAAGCACGTACCTCTCATTCTGTGACTTCTATCACACCACAACCAATTGTGGTTTGTTCACCTTCAGTCTCCAGGTGCCTCTTTCCCCTTAAGACGTGTCTAGACTGAACTCACGTCCAGACTATGAGCGGATACCAATCTGCACGTAATGGTTGCGCCAATGCCTAGAGCTGCTATGACGACAACGTGGGATTCGAAGCGCGTTAGGTGAGCTCCCCTTGACTGTTATCCTAATATTTCGGGCGATTCGACACACCAATGTGCAGCAAACGAAAGCTGATCTGGTTTGCCTACATAAGCAACACCAGAGGTCTTTGAGCATTCATTCACCTTCTTGGAGGATTAAGACTCATTCTTTCGAACCACCTATTTGCTCACGGACTTAAGTTACCTGCTCATGGCTGTCAAACAGAAGAACGTGCATGATGTGATATCGAGAGGGGAGGAGCATGCTATGAAGAAGCTCAAGAAATCTTCGTCCCGAAAGTCTTATGTGAGTCCCTAGAAGCTGGATGGGGAAAGCTGGATCGGTATAAATCCGTAAGCCTGGTTTGTTGCATGATGCTGCCTAGCTATTTTCTCGCATCATGCTTGTTGTGCCGTAAAAGTGCATCTGCGACTCGGTTTCATGCCATATAATGCATGATCTGCATTGTTTAGATCGTTTTTTGGTGTTCAGGAAAAGAATGGCAGGGGATCCTCGCCTGAGCCCGAAGGGTCTGCTCGGAGGTCGGGTCAAAAGAGGCGCCCCAGTGTTAAAGTGGCTGAGAACCTTCCTTCCAAGGAGTATTTGAACGAAGGGACGGGCTCGGGGGAGGATGACGAAAAGGAGGACGGTGAGGGTGTTTCTCGTGCAAACGAATGTAGCTCGGATGAAGTAAAGAAGGCTGTTGATATGGAACAGAGTGACGAAGAGAGTTCTGAGTCGGCAGAGGAGGAGGGCTCTGATGACGAGGACAAATCAGAAAACGAGGGAGGGGAGAACAGTGATGAGGAGTTTGATGAGGAGTGTGATGAAGAGTGTGATGAGGAAAGCGAAAGTAGCGATCGTGAGGATGAACATGGAACCGACGGGAGTGAAGAAGATGAGGATGAAGCTGAGGCACGTGCACGGAACAACGGCAAGATGCGTGCAGTGGAAGCGTTAAAGGAGAAGACAGCTGATGAAGGCAAAGGTAAGATGTCATGTGTTCTAATTTATTGTTCACCCATCACTGGATAAAAGCATTTGCTGTGAACAGCTTTCAGTGTCGTGCATTTGATGTTGGAAAACCGCAAACGGCTAAATATTACCTATTTAACACTTCGCAGGCAAATCCAAGGCAACGCGTGGGAAGGGTCATGGCAAGGGCAGGCGCGGTCGCATAAAAAAGGGGAAGCATAGTTCATCCAAGAAGGCGAAAAAGGAGGATAGGAAGGGGAAGGGCAAGCTGGATGAGACCAACAATGAAGAGAAAGGCAAGAAGAAATATAAGAAGGGCAAAGAGAAGGTTACCTACCCCATCAAGGAGAAAGGTGAGATCTAATTTTCAGCAACATTATCTGTTTGTTATGTTGTCTTTATTTGACATCTCTGGAACAATGCCCTACCCTCTTTTGCCCATCCTTGATCCATTTGCCCACTCCCCCCCTCTTCCTAACCTTCCTCAATCCCCCCCTTCCTTGATGCAACCAACCCCTCTGTCCCCCTTCTCCTCTTCCCACTCCTTTTTCGCCTGGCCACAACCCTAAACCATCCATCCCGTTTTCTCCTTTCTCATGCCCACCCCCAAACCCGCTGCTCTCCCCCCCCCCCCCCCCCTCCCACTCCCTCCCTTGCTCCCTTTTTGCTTTCCCCCCTGCACCCCTTTTCCTCCCCGTATTCTGTCCACCGCTGTCACCCTCGCAGGGTTATCTGGCTCCGCACCTCCTGGGAAGGTGCTGTGTGTGACAACCAAAAGTCATGAAGTGGCTGCAACAATCATGGCCAATCAGGCAGGACCTAGTGGTCTTAACCGTCAGAACAGTGGAGGAGTGTCAAAGGCAGAGTTCCTTGCGCTGGAAGGCAAGGTGATGGAGCAGTTAGCAGCGATACGCGAATTGGTGGCAGGAATTCCATCGAGCGGATTGTCAAATCCATCTCAAGGAACACTTGTGATCGCCCGATCCGTCCCTGCGGTGAACCCTGCAATGTCAACTGACTCGGATTCCACAGAGAGTCCCGTTATGCTGGCGAGATCGAATGTCATGAAGCATGTGGAAGACTACTGGGTGAGTATATTTTGACAAGAGGCATGGGGACTGTAGAGAGGCATGGGGAAATGGGGTGTAAATTGGCATGGGGATTGTATTATGAGAAAGTTGATAAGGCATTGTTTTATCTTGTGTATGGTGTTTTTTTCTAAGCTGTTGTAACGTTTAGAAACCTGTGCTGCTTTTTATGTTGCATTCTATGTCCAACCCTATTGCCCTTTCTCCCCACCCTTGTACTTTTTATCCCCTTTGTTAACCCTTTTCTTTGCCCATCCCTTAGTTTGCTCTGGTGTTCTAAACCCTAGGCTCCAACCCATCCTTAGCCCTCATGATTTGAACAAATGCAATGTTTTAATGTATTACCTCTTATGTACCCTAAACCCATCTTTTACAGGAACTCGCCAAACGTGTGGCAACGCGCTTGATGTACACCAACGCAGCAGACCAGATTCAGTTTTATCCCTCGGATCGGGAGGCGATGGAGCTGGGTTTCAAGCAGTTTTTGCCAACAGATGCTTTGAAGTCATTGATTGTCTTGTTCGAGCACCTTGACCCTGCCACACGTGGGGTCTTTCTGGAGCTGATGTCAACGACGCGGACCACCATCAACGGTTTTCTACGCAAGTATGCGCTGCCTGCTCTTGGACGCAGTGCGGCGCGAAGCTATGTCAGCAACCTACCTCCGGAGCTGCCACGGCCTGATATCTTCTACTCTGATCAGGAATTAGTTGATAAGTACATGGATGGTGAGTTTGGGTTTTTTGGATGGTGTGTTGCATGTTCTTGCTTTGAAATGGCGTCTGCACATGGTGCCATTTTCTCTCATCACATAACCTCATGCATGTCACAGGTTGACACATTTGGTCATAATTTTCTCACTCATTATCACTCTCTCATTAGTTGTCATTCTCTCACATACTGCGATTCTTTCGCATGCTGCCATTCTCTCATATGGTTTCCGTTCTCCTTTTCACCCTTATTCAAACAGATGAGGGGACGTTAGCATGGCATTTTCTTAACGGCGTGCCTTTCTCGACACAGATCTTCGCAGTTTGTGTTCGCTTAGCCCTGACAAGGAGAGGCGTCAACACTGAGAAGTTCAAGATCCGTCAGTTGGCGTGGATCTTGTATGCTGTGAGTATACAAAGTTACCCATAATTTGTTTTACTTCTTAACATAATCAACTTATACGAGTGTTATATGGTTGTGCAACGTAGGATTCACATAATCCAACATCCTTTCTAATGGAAGCTTGTTAGTCCTTAACCCCAACATCATATTTCTCACCTTGATCAGGGGCTTGCTTGAACCCTTTATTTTTGCCCCTTCTATCGTCAGGTGGAGTGGCCGTTGCTGCACAATGCGCCAGATGGGAAGCTTCCCACAAAGTGGGATACGAATCGCACAAACTATGAGGTCATGTGCGCTCGTGTCAAGAGGTTGGTCGAGCATGCTGTGCTCGACCTCGGAGTTGCGTATGACAGGAACATGCACGCCTTCGTTTTTCCGAACGCGGTGTACATTGACGCTTCGGATTCCGAGTCGGTGGTGAAAGAGTACCTTGTAAGTATGCATGGATGATGTTGATATGAAACAATATGTTTGTTAATTGTGCTTTGATATGTTTTTGTACTAATTCATGTTATCCTTCCTATTTGTATAAACCCTCCAGCGCAGGCAGGCAGCTTCGAGGACTGCCCAGCAAGTCAGCAAGAGTGGTTGGGAGTAGCAGAGGTGGGCTGCAGAGTGGTTGGGAGTAGCAGAGGCGGGCTGCAGAGTGGTTGGGAGTAGCAGAGGCGGGCTGCAGAGTGGTTGGGAGTAGCAGAGGCGGGCTGCAGAGTGGTTGGGAGTAGCAGAGGCGGGCTGCAGAGTGGTTGGGAGTAGCAGAGGCGGGCTGCAGAGTGGTTGGGAGTAGCAGAGGCGGGCTGCAGAGTGGTTGGGAGTAGCAGAGGCGGGCTGCAGAGTGGTTGGGAGTAGCAGAGGCGGGCTGCAGAGTGGTTGGGAGTAGCAGAGGCGGGCTGCAGAGTGGTTGGGAGTAGCAGAGGCGGGCTGCAGAGTGGTTGGGAGTAGCAGAGACGGGCTGCAGAGTGGTTGGGAGTAGCAGAGGTGGGCTGCAGAGTGGTTGGGAGTAGCAGAGACGGGCTGCAGAGTGGTCGGGAGTAGCAGAGACGGGCTGCAGAGTGGTTGGGAGTAGCAGAGACGGGCTGCAGAGTGGTTGGGAGTAGCAGAGGCGGGCTGCAGAGTGGTTGGGAGTAGCAGAGACGGGCTGCAGAGTGGTTGGGAGTAGCAGAGACGGGCTGCAGAGTGGTTGGGAGTAGCAGAGACGGGCTGCAGAGTGGTTGGGAGTAGCAGAGACGGGCTGCAGAGTGGTTGGGAGTAGCAGAGACGGGCTGCAGAGTGGTTGGGAGTAGCAGAGACGGGCTGCAGAGTGGTTGGGAGTAGCAGAGACGGGCTGCAGAGTGGTTGGGAGCAGCAGAGACGGGCTGCAGAGTGTTTGGGAGTAGCAGAAACGGGCTGCAAAGTGGTTGGGAGTAGCAGCGACGGGCTGCAGAGTGGTTGGAGGTAGCAAAGACGAGAGATCACAGTTGCAACATGTTGGATGTAGTTTGCTGTGATAGGAGAAGCATTCGGATGTAGCAGTGATGGACAGGCGCCATGTTGGGAGGAGCCATGTTGCGAGGAGCCATGATGGGAGTAGTAACAATGGAGGAGGTGAAGGGTAATTTCAAGCAACGAATGAAGCTGTTGTGTGTAGCCGGTAGGCAGGAAGCCGTTTGATGTAGTCTCGATTGATGGAAGATGTCGTTTGTAGCTTCAGTGAGAGAAGAAGCTGGGTGTAGCTTATGTGGGAGAAGCTGTTGGATTTAGTTTGGATTTGGAGGGAAGTTGCTGGTGGATGTAGACGTAGGTTGGTGACAGTTATGATGGCGTAGCAAGTGGATGGTGGTAGGTTAGGTGTAGAACAACCAGATGAGGTGTAGAAATTTTATAACCATTTTATGTATAGGATTCTCTTTTAATATAAATTAATATAGTTTTCATTTGCAACAAATTTACTAACCCAGCATGTCATGAAAGCCCTGTATATGGCATGCTCAGGTTTGTCCAATGTTGGACTGATTTTGGTCCATCTTGACGTTGAAATGGTATGTAGTATTTAGTCCCTTTTTTATGTCAAATTAGGGCTGAGTTCATATATGCAGCCACACCATTCTTGGTCCAAAGCAATGGACCAAAGTTTGTCTGATTTTGGCAGAAAACACCAACTTTGGACTTATTTTGGACCAAACCAAGGCCCGGTAGTTTGTGATGTGGCCACAGTTGCTAACGCCTTTACACAAGGCATTTATTCATTATAATCTATCCTAAAAGTGCCTGAGTGTAGCACTCATTCTCCGGAAGGTGACTCGGCTGCTAGAGCCGGTTATTCTGCGCCAGGCACCAAACCTGCCGATGCCAACTGAAATCCCTGTTGCTGCCAAGCAGCTCCTCTCCTCTTCCTCCTCATCCATGTAGAGCTGGTTCATGTAGCACACACTCCCCTTCCCACCCAATCCAAAGCCCTGGTTGCTGTAACTCTCATCCTCCTCATCGTCATCCCCAAATAGCTGGTTTGAAAACACGTTTTTTTCCAACGACTTCCCAGCATCCTTCGCCTCCATGGTCCATCCCTTCACACTACTGCACAAGCCTTATCTGATCCCCTTGTTCACACCCCCCTTCCAATCAGATATGAAGTTGCTGTAACTCTCCTCCTCCTCATCATGATCCCCAAACAGCTGGTTTGAAAACAAGACTTTTCCCATCGGCCGCCCAACATCCTTCTCCTGCATGTAGCATCCCTTATCTCTTCTGCAAAAGCCTCAGCCAATCCACTTTTTTCACACACATGAAGTCAGTGCTGCTGCTGATTGTAGACGAGAAAAGGCCACTGAGAGGAGAGGAGGACGAGGAGGAGAAGCTGCAGCTATCCCAGGAGAGGTCAATAAGGCATGCGCTGTGGCTGCTGCAGCTGCTCTCACTGCGACTCATGCTGCAGCACCCACTGCTTTCCCCTGCTCCCTCCTTCACACCCTGCTCCTCCGCGACCAGGAATGAAGGAGCTCCCTCCTCTCATTCCGCACCCAAGCAGGACACGTCCCCAGCTGAGCACAACTGGATCCGCGACCTCAACAGCAGCAGATGCGACCTCAACAGCAGCAGCTGCGATCTCAACAGCAGCAGATGCGGCCTCAACAGCAGCAGCTGCGACCTCAACAGCAGCAGATGCGACCTCAACAGCAGCAGCTGCGACCTCAACAGCAGCAGATGCGACCTCAAAAGCAGGACATGCGACCTCAACAACAGCAGCTGCGACCTCAACAGCAGCAGATGCGACCTCAGCAACAGACCTCAACAGCAGCAGATGCGACCTCAACAGCAACAGCTGCGACCTCAACCGCAGCCGATGCGACCTCAACAGCAGCAGCTGCGACCTCAACAGCAGCAGATGCGACCTCAACAGCAGCAGCTGCGACCTCAACAGCAGCAGATGCGACCTCAACAGCAGCAGCTGCAACCTCAACAACAGCAGCTGCGACCTCAACAGCAGCAGATGCGACCTCAACAGCAGCAGATGCGACCTCAACAGCAGCAGCTGCAACCTCAACAGCAGCAGCTGCGACCTCAACAGCAGCAGCGTGTGGGGAAGGGAAGGGTATGGGAGCGTGTGGGGAAGGGCATGGGAGCGTGTGAGGAAGGGCATGGGAGCGTGTGGGGAAGGGTTTGGGAGCGTGTGGGGAAGGGACAGGCGGCGAACGGTCCCCAGGCGGGAGAGAAGGAAATTGCGGCAGGATAGAAGCAAATCACGGGTGTGTTACACGTGAGAGAAGGGAACAGCCAAGCACAAGCGCGACAGATAGTAGGTTTCCGCCTGCGCGAGGTGGAAGGGACGTGGTGCGTGAGGTGGAAGGGCTTCAAGCAAGTTGCTGGACGCGTGACGGGAGGAGATTGCAGCACGACGGGAGAAATTGCAGCGCGACTGGAGGAAATAGCTGCACGACGGGCAGGGAATAGCCGCTGCGCGAAGGGAAGGGAATTGCCGCGATAGGGAAGAGAGCTGCTGCGGGTAAGCAGAATAGGTATCCCTCTGGCGTTGGTTCAGCAGAATAATACCGTATGCGTTGCATCCGTGCCTTCATTCTCCTTTTTCCATCCCGCTTTTATTCGACCACGACCGCAATTTTGGTTGGACCGCGACCCAAATGCGAAGCATGGTAACCGTGGCGAGACTATTGCTGTCTGCGAGATTCGTCTGACCATTTCGACGGGATGCTCGTCTGACCATTTCGACAGGATGCTGGTTCGCGGGCCAATACATCCGCAGGTGTACAGTGCTCGTTTTGACTAGGTTGAAAAAGCAGTTTCGAGATTGGGAGTGCTGCTTTCCCAGGAACCATTCCTGGGCGATGTTCGGCAGGCCAAGGAATACAGGGGGGGTTGGGGCGAGGGATCCAAAATGACCAGCCTCGCCCCTAGTTGGATGGGTCAACTCTGGGTCCACCAGAGTTGACCCCACGTCCGAGGTCTTGGTGCAAGCGGAGAGTCGGGGGGAGCTCGCGGGATGGAAACAACGAGATGGCGGGGGGGGGGGGGGGGGTGGAAGCTGCACCGTACAGGAAGAGAAACTTCCACCCTACAAAAGGGTTGCAGCATGCCAAAAACAAATGCCCGACACACTATACGCATAGGTGAAAAGGGTAAAAACTGGCGGAAAGGAGGTTACTATGCGGCGCGATCTAATTATGACATATCTCCTTATGGCGAGGAATCTAATATTATATGACAAACCCTAGCGCTATTGACGGAGAGATCGTGGGTAAATCTGTTAGTCTCGGGAGGCTAAGACTGAACCATTGAATGCGACAAATCTAGACTCTAATGTGCTCCTATAAGTGGGTAAACAGCGCATGTGGTGCGCCAGTGTTCGTGCCACGTGATCGATCTCACCTTTGGCGGTGTGACGCCGTGATGGGTTGGCAAATGGCGACTATAGTCTGGCTGATAAATAGGGATGGAAGGAGATAAGTGCGGTAGAGGGAGCGAAGTTGAGAGATACCGTATGGCCCCGGATATAGGCGCCGTCCGATTAAAGGCGCCGGCGCCTCTATCTGGAGCATGGCGCTTATGGCCGTTCCTTGATTATAAGCGCCCCCCCTAGAAAACGTTTACTTATTATAAGCGCACGTGCAATTCTAGTTTAAATTCTTGCTTAAAACGGTAACGAAATTCATTTTTGCAGCGAGTCAGATTTCGATTTCGCTTGGTTTGACTCGCGAAGACCTGACTGGCTGCACGTCTAGTCAGGATCTGCTGGCATGACGTGTCTTTGCCTGTGTGCACCCAGAATATCGCTTGCGCGAGATTTTGTTTTGTGATGCTAAAGCATTTCGACTCGGTTGAAATGGCAAGAAGAAAATGAACAATTTGGTGATCTAAATATATAATTTCGTATTTGTCATTATATAAGCGCCGGCGCTTATGGCCGTTACTCAATTACAAGCGCCCCCCCCTCAAAAAAATGAATTTATTATAAGCGCATATGCGCCTATATCCGGGGTAATACGGTAGATGTCGAGTGGCGAATGTTGAGAGGGAAGTTGGGTGGGATACCTTTTTGTTTTTTACTTTCTTTTCAGGGTAATGCCATGTTCGATAGGAGGGGATTGACCGCGGGATCTGGCTGGATTCTTCGGTTTTGAGCGGCAGGCTAGGGAATCCAAGTTTCATCCCCCCCCTCTAGTGCGGAGGCTTTCCGCCAAGGGGGGGGTTGTGGGGAGGATGCGGCGCGGGCGACACTCTAGCATGGGGTTCGCGTCGCATTGAAGGCCCACGTTCGGACTGTTTTTCACATTTTTTCTTGTCCTGACGGCACTGTTTTGCCGGGTTCTCCAAGGTCGAACCTGGTGGCCCGGCATTTTGATCCTCCCTCAAACCCTCTCCCCTGGCTGCCGAACATCGCCCTGGATCATCGAGCCACAGCCTTGCTTGGCTTACGACCAGACGTGGCTATAAAATGCGTCAAGGGCCTGCTAAATTGGTATCGCCTAGGAGTAATTTAAGACCAAGATGTGCCTACAGTCCTTTTATGTGTGTAAACGGATTCTACATAATTACAAATTTATCTCCAATAACTCTGATAGGTTTTTGGTTAAACAATCACATGTGCATGTACATATATATAATGAAAATTTATAGATTTTAATTGCATGTAACCTAGGGTTAAAATACCATGGCTACTCTGTTGTCTATGTAATCGTACTGGTAATTGTCAGAGGTCCACTGGTGATCCCCGATTGATCCTAGGGAAGGGTTACAAGCACGTTGGCCTGGGGGGTTATGGGCGCACTGACCCGCTACTTAAACAAGCCCCTTAATCCCAATGGTCTAGTGGTTGGGATTTTGACATGGTATCAGAGCGAAGGTCTCGGGTTCGAATCCCGGTGTATGCACTTCGGGCATCCCAGTGCGGGGGGGTGTCAGAGGTCCACTGGTGATCCCCGATTGATCCTAGGGAAGGGTTACAGGCACGTTGGCCTGGGGGGTTATGGGCGCACTGACCCGCTACTTAAACAAGCCCTTTTATCCCAATGGTCTAGTGGTTGGGATTCTGACAGTAATCACATGCATTAATACACATTCCTAATTTAGCAGATCCTTGTTAAGATAGAATGCATTGTCACTGAAGGACTTGATAATATGCATCTGACGCAGTATGCTTTCCGTGTCAATCACTGAATATCGCAATACCCCGGTTGCCCACCTAAGACGTTTGCACCCTGTTTTTGCATCCTCGCCTACACTAGACCAGTATTTCTGTAGGGCTGAGAAAAGCCAGTCAAACATATATGATATAGCCTGTGTAGGGTGTAGTGGGGTAGACATTATGGGGTACAACTTTTCTAGGTTTTCATACTTGTACCCATCTCCTTTCTAGTCCACACCATTCCTCGTACTATTCTCACATGGTATAGAGCGGGTTCCCTAGTGGGACCGTTTTTTTAGGGCCCACCACTTATTTTTTTTTTCCTGCCCTGCCCGAAGCGCGCTCCTGCCCCTGTCGCGCGCCTCGCACCTGCCTCACTTGCGCCCCATGCGCCTACCTTGCCGTTGCGGCCCCTGCTGTCGCGGCCCTGTTTGAAGCCGTCGCGGCCCTCCCTGCGGCCGTCGCGGCCCTACCGTGCCGTCGCGGCCCTGCCGCCCTGCCGTCGCGACCCTCCCTGACGCCGTCGCGGCCCCACCCTGCCGTCGCGGCCCTGCCTGCCGCCGCCGCGGCCCGTCTTGCGGCCGCCGTCGCGGCCCTGCCTACCGCCGCGGTTGCGGCCCTGCCTACAGCCGCTGTTGCGGCCCTGCCTCGTCGCGGCCCTGCGTGACGCGGCCCTGACCTGCCGGCGCGCCACGGCCCTGCCCTTCCAGTTGCGGCCCTACCCTGATCCTGCCCTGGTAAGCGCACCGCCGCACCCGCGCCGCCCTGCTAAGCTGCGCAGCCTTACCAAGCCGCGCCGCCCTACCAAGCCGCGCTGCCCTGCCGAGTCGCGCTGCTCTTGCTGCTGCTACTGCTACTGCTGTCATGGCTACACCTAATGTACTTACCTTCGATGCTGAGGGTCGGGCAGTTGATTTC